GCATTTCTTGTATGTGGTGACTGGCAGAACGAAATTTAGTGACTTCGGTGACTAGGGTGACCTCTACGCGTGCATGATATCGGTATCGGAATGACGAGGATACATGCAGGATGGTAATGAGATGAGGGGTTTAGTAGCTCACCGCTGTGGAATGTTTCAAAGATAGATTGGTCCCCTCGAGTTGATGGCTTTCACTCTACTTGTTTAGGAGGTGACCACTACAGGAAAATTGTTGCTATAAGCTTCTGTCACAAAGTCGTCTTAGATTTTGCTTAGCATGATTCCAAGTGATCTTACAATGTATCTGCATGCACTGTTGGCAGCATTCATTTCGACTGTCTGTGTACAAAAGCATAAAGAAGAAGACGACATATACCCAAACACTAGCATATCAGCAATACTTGTATATGTAAGGGTCTATGCTTTGTGTCAAATGTTGGGTATAAGTGTATATAAAATAGTGTTGTCATTTGATTTGTTGGATGAGATGTAGCATCAATATTGATCTAGACAATTTAGGAGGGTAATCGATCTCTCTCCCTCTCTCTCTCTCTGGAAACACACTATTTCATCTGTCTGCATTGATCTTTGATGGATGTTGGCCTTCTTTTCTGTATGGTGAACAGATTAAGGACACTTATTTTAATCCTTTACTATTGATAGTGGATAACAAGATCACACACAAAAGAGAAAGAAACATCTTGTTTGATCATTGATGATTAATTCTACAATAACTAAGATACCAAACCTAGCATCGTTTTTGTTAGTATTTAGGAAATCTTTTTTATGATTGTAATGTTCTTCATGCTTTGTGGATGGCGATAAAGTTAACTTCATGTTATCACAAGTCAACCTACAGCAAAGTGATGGAAACATCTTTTTTGTCATCACCATGCATGCATGCATGGTTGTCATCTCATCTCCTCTCCTCCCACTTGCTGTTAGTCCTCAGTTTCCCCTCTTCAACACGTTCAATTCAGACAACAATCAATTGCCAAATCTTCTGATCTCCACCAAAATCCTATGGTTAGTAAACAAAAGAAACATCGACACAACATACATCCTCGCCTATCATCATTAAATTCAACCCCATCTCCCCACCAGTAGCTTCTCTATTTTATATACTAAACTATGCATCAAACATCCATGACACACACGGTATTACGACCGGCATCCACGCGGATGTCAATGATGAATTGATTGCTAAAAGATCCGGAATTAATCGAAGAACACCTTCACCTAAACACTGTCAGCTCTGATGAGTTCACCATGAAATGAATCAGATAAGAATATGCAAATTTTGCAACTACTGCAAGCTATCATCAGTACACTCACCAAGCAAAATCTCAACTCAGCATGGCCACAGAAGAACTCAGAGAGCTTGCATGCACATGCCTTACGTGCGTACCTTTTCATTCATTTATTGGTCCTCCACTGTAACTTGTGGAGAATGTGTGACCGAAGCAAACGCCACCGGACGTGTGCAGTAATGGCGACCTCGCATTCACGTAGAAGATGAAATCAAGTAGGGCTCGGTGAGGCATTCAATCAGCGCGGTGGAGATGAGGAGCTCCGCCGCTGACAGCTCGGTGGAGGGAAGTAAGAAGGGTTGGCGGGGGTGGAGTCGGTGAAGCCGCCGAAGGGATCATTAATGGCGGTGGGAGAGGGGTCGCGTGGGCCCCTGGAGTTGGTTTCAGTGTTTGACCGTTGACTGCTTGCTGACCAAGTTTTGTTCTGTGTTGGACCCAATATCTAAACCCGTATCCGGACTTGTAGGATCTAAACCCAAATAGGCTCCATATTTATTTATGGCAGAAAAATTTTGGATCATTAATTGAATCGATGGATCGATGGACTTTTGTAACAATGGTTTCCTTTCATTCAGCTTTATTGTTCCTAAATTAAAATTGAATATGGATCAGCAAAGACCATACACTATTCCTTTGATATATATATTAATTCGATTATACGATCGTTGCCTGAAATTATTGGTACCAGTCGTTTCATGCCATATATTTCCTTCTTTGGAAAAAATGAAAGATAAATTGCTCGATTTTTGAAGTAAATCTTGGGATCGAAGAAAAAGATATTAAGCAAAAAATATAATTATTTATAGAAGTGGAACTACTACAAGTTCAATAACTTTTTTTAGTTATTTTTTTTATCACAGTAAAATATAATTCAACAGTAATATCACAAACAAAGTTCTAAACAAGATGTTTGATGTAGTACTTATGTATGTCCGTGTCTTTCTATTTGTTCATGTTTCACACAACATGTAGAGGAACGGTTGAAGGCTTAACAATCATATTTTAAATAAAGGTCGTGTCATGTAGACACTTGTGAGAGATATTCGATCTGTAATGAACCATTTTGACTCTTTGTTGTGAAACCGTTCGGGGCTTGTAAAGTCTGTTTGTAATTTGCATTGTTTATGAAGTATTTCCTTGAATGTTTGCTTGTAGATCCCGAATGAAACGCTTTCTCTAATCCGTTTTTCAAAAACCAGCTAAGTCCATGACAATAAGATAATTTTTCAAAAAAAAAAATCTCTTCTTCCATTTGTTTGATTTCGTTTCCTGTTTATGTACCCAATTTTATATAAAAAAATATTTGTAATGCCAAATGAAATCTCAGTCGACTTTATACCTACAACATCATATGAATCATTAATGGCTTCATTATATCCGAATAACTTGTATAATCATCTCAAATCTCTAATCTTGATTCTTAGTGATGTGTTTTTTATTATCACTATCATCCGTCATACTATCTATCATACTATAAAAGCCTCCAGGTACATCGTTAGCATCTAATCAGACTCTCCTAAGGTTTAACATTAAACTAATTAATCTGAGCCTATTTGCTAAGTTATTGTAGGAATTTTGTTGGACATGCTATGATGTAATCTTCTCATTTCCACATCGGAGTAAGCTTAGGATTGCTTAAGATGTGAGGTACTCAAGCAATATTCATCTGCAAGGGGTTGACATACACCTTAACTTCGTACAATTAAAAGAAAATGCTTGAAATCAAAATGTTCGAGTAATATGTTGTCTTTATGCACAAAAATGGTAAGGATTTTGAAGATAGATGAAGATGTAATGTTCACCTAGTATTTTTGTCAAATAGAAAATAAGTATTTTTGTCAAATAGAAGATGCAATGTTCACCTACTAAGATAGCTGATGTTTCACCCAATTAGGCTATCAACTAGAACGAAGCTCAATCATGACACATGAGAACGAGACTATTTTAATTTTTTTTTTTTATACATGGATAACCAAAAATATTTTCAAGTTTTAAGTGATAGAAACATAAAATAAAAATATTTATAATAAATCAAAATGGGGTTGACGATTGTGCTTTCTATCTCATATATGCTGTCTACAAGAAAACATAAAAAAGATAAAAAAAAATAAGAACTAAAAAGCATTAAAGATGCATAAAACATCTTGATTGTATTGGTCCATAACATCATGATCATCTTGTAGGGTCTCGATATATAAATTCAAAATTCTGACTCCTTGTCAACCTGTAGCATATTTAGGAAAAAGTCTAGATTTGAATAATCTTCTATTCAAACGATCATAATATAGCATAATAATAAGTTTTCAAAATTTATGTTTAAAGATATATGGTGAAGATAAAAGGAATTAATATTAAAATCATATAAAAGTCTTGGGGTTTATATATATATATATATATATATATATATATATATATATATATACACACACACACACACCATTGTTCATTAGGATTCCTCCAGCAAAAAAAAAAAAATGTAATAGGTTTTTCAAATATTAATTTAAATCACTAATAGTTAAATTTTAACTCAAAATTTAAGGGATTAATATTAAAATCCTTTAAAAAATATAACTTATGAATCCTTAGATTAATTAAGATAAGTTAATATGTTATTTGTAAATAAATTGCTGCATAATTATGTACTACTTTGTAGGAATATATTTTTAACTTTATCAAATATTTCCATAGCACTTTATATATATTGGTAAAATTTCAAAATAAAACTCTTATATTTGAAAAATTCCTGTAGAGTATCCTAATTGTAAAAATTTTTCATAGAGAATTTTTTTCTAATAACTTTTTTGCCCCTAGACCCCTACTAAAGTAGTCTTCACCTTGCTTCGTCGCTCAGCACCATTACCTTCCATCCCATTACCTTTCATCCCCTCTACCACGTTAGACATATTGTGGAAGGGGTTGTTGCCACTGTCACAACTTCGTAACTCTTCTTTCTTAACAAGGGTGATGCCTTCTTCCATGAAAGTACAATAATAAGAGCAAGGCCTTTGTCGAACTTCTTTAGTGGCAAGGGTGCAATGGTCCTCGTTGGACTCAATGATGGAAGCATAGTTTCTATAGCTCCTTTGCTTGAGACGAGAGCTTGCTGACCTGGGATGCTCCACACACACACAATCTAAAATTTAAGAATTTTTCAAAATAGCTCTTAAACTTAACAAAATTTTCACATAATCTTCTTAATAATATGAAAAGATCATTTTATCTCTAGCTCTATGCTCTATTAGACCCACCATCATCTCCGTCCACTAAACTCAACAACAAAAGATTCTTTATGGTTGTTATTGTCGCTCGCAAATCTCTCTCGTTATCGATCTACGTAAGAAAGGAGTGGGGTGGCTCGCTCTCGCCCATAGCTTCTATAGTTTGTTGTGGTTATTTTCGTTATTTTCTACTATCTTATTTGGTTATTTTCGCTAACTTATAAATTTTTTTCAAAAGTATATATATATATATATATATATATATATATATATATATATATATATATATATATATATATATATATATATATATATAT